TAGCTATACATACATCTATCCACATCCACATCCTATTTTTTTCGATTTTATAGAATATGTTTTGTGTATTTAACAGAGTTCCTATACTCGTAACTCTGCGCAGCAGATGAGGTACCAAGAAAAGGCAGCAAGAATTCACAAATGAAAAACATTCCAGCACATTTTTGTAGTGTTTAGTTACCTCAGGATAGAAAAAATAAATGGAAACTGAGGGTTGTTTTGCGTGGTGCCTGCTGTTTTATATAACTATTTTGTCTCATCTCAACGAAATTTTCATAATCGTCAGAGAAAATAAACAGTGGAACAGAAAGCAAGAGTGACGTTTTTTGACTTGGTGAAGGACGCTTTAAGAGTGTGAAGTGAGTACTTACACAACTAACTTGTTATTGCGTCCAGTACTGGTTGAAAGCTTCGTGAGGCGGTATTTTGCCTCATTTGCATATACCCGATTCTTCTGAAACATTCCAATCCATTCTCAATGGATATTTCTTCTGATTTCTTGTCTTAACAATAACTTTTCAATATAACAAATCAACAAAGACACAAACAAACTAGGGGCATACAACTCACATTGATGCTCATGTGAGTGTGTGGTGAATGTGGGTATGTGCCTGCTCTTCACTCACCTAACTGCACACCCACACCCACACCCAAAATGCTAGAAAAGAAACAACACATGGATCAATCGATCGTAGTTCAACTGATGATACAATACGAAATAGTGTTATGTGTAGAATAAATATCTAAAAATGATTGACCATATGTGAAAAAAAAATAACATAAAATTGGAGATTATTAAAAAAGAAAAATAACTCTGGAGGAAGCAATAGTAACATGTGATTATAATTGAACATGATATCCATCGACAATTAGTCATAAACGACCTTTCCATTTATTACTTTTGCTTCGAGCACTATCAACAATAATTTTTTTCGCTCACTACGAATGACATGAAAAGATGCTTTGATGTATATTAGTAAACTTTACATTAATTAAGCCATTTAGTTTTTCAAACAATTTATTGTTGTATCTTTTGTGGAACTCACGCATATTTTCGAAGAGAATAGTGAGTGTAAGTTTTAAGTCGAGGTTTTGCGGCTCCCCCTCCCATTACAGACAGACCATAGCAACGGGAAAGAGAACATTACAGACCCCCCCCCCCCCGTTACAGACACTTAGCAACTGTACACACAAAAATTAAGCTTAAAGTAAAAATAGAAAAAAACTTGAACGGTACGAAAAGTATGAATTCGATTGCTATACAATATTATAATATTTTCATAATTATTTCAAAAAATTAATATACATTTAACATAATTCTTAATAGTATAAATGTTGGCTGTTTAAAGAATTCTAGCTTGTATAATAAAAATCAAGAATGAACAATTATAATAAGTATTAATATATTGTACTGATGATATAATCAGTACAAGAAACATCATTCAATCTTTTATTACTGTTAAAAGGAAACAATATTACTATTGACGAATTAATTGAGATGTATAGAAGTATTGTAAGAATGGCTAGCACATATTAAGTGCACTGTTGTAAGACTCGTATTTATGAAATATTTGATGATAAAAAAAATTCAAATAAAAAAAAACAAAGAAATGATTATTATCAAGTATATAGAAACACTAATAATGAAAATTGGGCGCACTCAGAGGAAAAAGCATACTCGCAACTTTAAATATATAAATAATAAAATATTGTTTATATCAGTGATAAGTTATAAGAATCATTTTAATCAACAGGATTCTTTCAGCTTACAAATGACATATTGGGATAACAAGTCTAAAGGATATACGTGAGTTCCACATTTTAGCTCCTTTGGAGCTGCGCTAACTAGCTTTTATCAAATATATCCTTGCAGATTGCTATTTCTAAATATCGTCGAGTTTTAAGTATCGAAAAATCAATTATTTTCAGACCATGGACTCATTGAAGTATTATAGAATCACGACTATGATGAAATTAATAACATGGATAAACTTATCAAGTGATCCATAAAATTTTTTTCTTTTTAGAAATATATATTTCAACGGGAAAATAGTAATGCTCATTACACTGAATATCAGATCGCGAGTTTCTATCATATCTAATTGTATAGGGTCCTTTAATAAAACATTTTAGAAACTTTGATTTTTCGATGAATGACTAACTAGTTCCTATAATACCACATCACTTTGTTATATAGAACAATTACCATTTATTTTGCTTCTTATTCTTTATTATCGATTTTAGGCCGCATAAATATTAGTTAAAGGATTATTTAAGGGCATCTATGAAGAAACATTGAAAGATTTTGTTCTACTAGACGATGACAAAAAGATTACTAGTCGGTGAAAGTTTAATAAGAAAAATAAATTACAAGAATATTTTTAAATGAATACTGTGCTATCAGAAAACATGATTTTCAAACTTGCAGTTGGAAACTTAGATAGAGATAGGCTTTTGTGAACACTTCACACTTTTCCGCTGTTTCTATTCTAAGATACAATTTTAATAATAGCGAGAGTTGCAAATCGCTTATGTAAACCAGTTGACTCAATATCCGGGTTTCAAGAAACAATCAAATCAAAAGATCTGACACTTTCAAAATAGACTGAGTCCGTTCAAGCCGTTGACATTCACAAAATCTGTTTCTCTGTTACTATGATGTTCTTATATTGAAATTTTCCTTTTCTAACTAAGATCCTCCTAGAGACTTTAATTATAAGATTTCTGTCTAAAGCTTCGTTTATAGAGAAGTTTCAGATTCAACAGAACATCTGAAAGATTTTAGGTTAATTGATGAATAAAAAGTTAAAAACACGTCACTTCTTGTGGGTGTGGGTTTAGAGAATAGCTACAGCCATAATCCCGCCCACACCCTCACGCCCACGCATACACCCACACCCACACTTCTTGTATAAGACGGTAGTTGATATGCCTACGAAACAAGTATAATAAGAATAAAAGGTATCAGCGACTTCGGACGCCATAAGCCTAGATAATACGATTGATCAAAAAATGATTCACCCACTCGTGTTCTACAATATTCTTCTCTTTACTGAATGAAGATTAAATAAGCTAGATAGATAAAATATATCTCAGATAAAAAATAGAGTAACTGGTGTGTGTGTGCGTAGATATTGTCTTCATCCACACTTACACCATTTTTTCCTTGCTGAAGGAACTCATCAGGTGACATAATTCATATTCATCATAACCGTAAAAGCTACGACAAAAATCGATATTCAACTCCTAGTTAGAGAACTAGAAGAGAACCAGTATTAGTTGTATATGGCTACAACTATAGCGCGGACGAAATAAGAAAAAAACAACAATAAAATCAATGTAATTACAATTGTATTACGCAATATTGATGTAATGACGAAATCAAAGAAAAAACAAAAATAAAAGCAACCTTGCATAATTTTGTTTTTCGCTTATTGAAAATGCAATTGAATATACCTGATTCATCTTGTCGTGGTCCAACTGAAACAAGTCATTGGGGTAAAATATTGACATTTTTTTTATTAAATAAAAAGTTTAATAAAATAGCCATGATGTTTTTCTATAGTGTAACTTAACCCTTAAACGTCGAATGTCCGATTTTGATGGAGCTGATAACTCATACCATACAAGAGAAATTACTCAGTACTGACTGATAGATGATATAATAGATATTTCATTTTGAATAACTTGAGTTTTCGATGTTTTCAATGATATCGTCAAGTACAACGTCGGGTGATCTGATGAAACCATCTTATCATTTGTTAATACACGTATTGAAACATTCATTCTTTACGACATGAAACATTCTAATTACCCCTGAATAACCTCAGACTCACTAAGGTATTACGCGAGCGAGCTTTAGGTTATTTTGAAGGAAACTAATGTAAGCTTTCCATTTCTACCAACGTGAAAAATTTTTGACGATTCTCAAATTTTTTCGGCTTCAGTGAAGATACCGATCTATTTCTAAATTCTTTGCAATAGTTCTGTTCCTATTCTCTTGGAGCATTCAGTAGCCACATTGTCGGTAAAACACAATCATTAGCGCGATCGTTAGACGATCATTTTCTCTTCGCTAATATTAACTACGCAATAATTATTTGGTCTCATAAGCAAGTCTTCTATTGAAACGAAAGGTGTATAAACGTGGAAAAAGTGTACAATATTGCTTTGATTAATTTTTTTGAGCAATAAAACATAGATAAATAAAATTCTCTTTAAGGCAAAACTGCTTTTTTCACATAAATTGAGAAAATGGGAAAGTTCATGCTGTTAAAATCGAATGTTCCATCTCTATAATAAAAAAAGTATTTTTTTAAATTATAACATGATCATAGTGAGAATCCAAAATCTGTAAGTTAGTGATCTAGATTTTCCTCATTGTCAAAATAGTCCTCGTAAGTTTTAAGGATTAACGAGAAAATATTTGTTTTATTTAGTTATTCCAAAAGTGCTTTTATCAAGTGGATATCCAGGTTCAAAAGATATAGATGAACATCGACGAGTAACACGTGCTATTTATGATAGTGGTATTGAAGTATTTGTTAACCTTATGCAAGAAAAAGAAGTTGCTCGTTTTACTCCATATGAAGAAGAAATTCGACAATATGCTATTGAAGGTTTTCTTTTCTTTTGTTATTATTTATATTGAAAGAAAAATTTTCTAGATGGCCGAAATGTTGAATTTCTTTTATTTCCAATTCCTGATCAATATGTTAGTCAAAATGATCAAAAAGTATTCGAATTTTGTCTAAATTTACTTGAAAGACTTAAAAACAAACATCAGAAAATTCTTGTTCATTGTTGGTAAATACTTTTCTTTAATTTTATTCTAAAACAATTTGTAAGTTTAATAAAAAAAAAGGGGTGGACATGGAAGAACTGGTACAATTATCTCTATTCTTATCGGAATGTTATTTCAATACGAAGGTAATTATTTATTAATTTGTAAACTTTTAATATAAGCTAGTTGATTAGCGGATGATGCTTTGAATTGTAATTATCAACTAAAGCGACAACGTTTGAGAACCAAAGGAAGAACGAGTCATCTTCATTCTCGTATGTTTAATTAAAAGAAATTCTTTTTTTTTGTTAAATATTTTATTCATAGGTCAAAGTGAACAAGTACGAACAGTATTGAAAATCTACAAAGATCAACAAACATCTTCAATTGATTCACCAATAGAACAAAAGAATTTTATCTAACTGATTTTTATTTTTCATATAACAAACAAGAATTTCAAAACTATCATTTACTGATTTTGCCAATTTAGGAGTAGTGTCACATATGCTGAATTTTTGAACTGTATCATCATCGCTCGCAGAAGATGTATTAGCTCATTCAGAGATATACATCCTTCGCAAGAAGCGTGCTCGACACATGATCACATGTCTCAGTTAAGCGAAGCAGTTTACAACTTTAAAGCTTTCTATATTTGTGATATTATGCACCGGGAAACAAACATACTATTTCAAATTCAAACACTATGTTTTCTACAGAATTAAATTCTCTATCGAATGAAACTATTTGACATATTTTACAACATCAAAAAAAAATCAGGTCCAAAAGTGGCTCTTCTTTTCTCATTCTGAATCACTCGTTATTAGACTTAGTATGTTGATCAGAGAGTTTGGAATTTCGCAATTGTTGAGAGCTAAGATTTTGTTGACTCTTCACTGGATTTCTGGAATCGATGTTGATTAGAGCTGTTAATATTGACCATGATCAAGTTCTTGAATTTAGGTAGAATGGTCTCCGTAATGTTTAACATCGTCAAATAGAATGTATTCTCCTACTTTGTAAGATTGACGATACTATTTCTAATACATTTCAGAGAAAAAAGTCATTTTAGCGAAATTTTTCGAAAGATATCAAACATACAATAGATCTAATATTTCCCTAGATGTGTGGAACTTGCTATTTGTATCAGAATCTAACTTTGATCGAGTTTTGATGTTAGATGCAACATTCTTTAAGTTTTTTTTTAATATATAAACAACGATGAAAATAAAAATTAGAGATTTCTTTTTGTTAAAAACAAAACAAAACATAACAAAATGAGACAATTCTTTGAATATAAAATGATAAATTCCTCAGTAAACAATTTAATAAAAATAAAATATGTTCTATACTAAATGTATTGATTTTGTGAAACTTACGTATATTTTCAAAGAAAATAGTGAGTGTAAGTTTTATTTTCGAGGTTTTGCGGCTCCCCCTCCCCTCCCCTTACAGAAATATAGTAACGGGAAAGAGAACATTACCGACAGGTCACCATTACAGACCTCCACAACCATACAGAAAAGTTTATACTCTATATAATATATCTTGTATTTCATAAATACTCAAAAAAACGTGCTTTCTAGTTTAAAAATAAGACATCAGGATAATAAATTTCAAAGATATACGTGAGTTCCACATTTTAGCTCCTTTGGAGCTGTGCTAACTAGCTTTTTTTTCTCGATTTTGGGTGTGGGTGGGTGGCGATGAGGGGTATGGGTGTGGGTATTGGTGTGGGTACGTGTGGATGTGATCAGAAGACATACATCCACATGTGCACCCACACCCTAATCACTAAGAAAAACAAATATTGTTCGTACTAAAGTTTCCTGTATGTCTTTTTACTTTGTGACTATTATCATAAAAGATGCGACATTTTGAACGCTTTCAAAATTTCGATTCATTTTGTTTTAGATGTCAAAACTCAATGATTCCACTGGCAAACTACGAAAGTATGAGGAAAGCCACTTTTCTAAGTTCTAAGAATTTTAACTTCAAAAAGTACTCTCCTATTCGCACTAGAAGTAGCAATGACTGACTTTGATAGTGATGGTTTTTACCATCCCTTTCTTGATAGTAAGAAATGAAATGATAGTTGTTGATGTCTTTTTATCAATATTCAATCTAACGTAATGTATCTTATGGTAGTTTCAAGTTCAGATAAATGGTTTCCTCTACAAAAAAACGATGAACGACTTTGAGAAACTCAGCCTGTTCTACTCACGAGTTTTTATTCACAATTTAATAGTATTAAGAAATGAATATTTTGATGTGATTCAAGAAAATTATTCGATAAAATTTCTTGCAATTCCTTGATGTTTAGATTGGATTTGTTTAGTTTTTATTGATATTTTCAGAAGTTTCTCAACGATATTTGTGAAGTATTTTTTAAAGATTCTCTGAAGATTTTCTTAGTTATATTGAAAATTTTCGTTACTGCTATATAAAACTTGAAATTTTTTCATTTGAACATCTAAAAGAAAAAGTCATCCAAAATTATAGAGAGAAAGATGTATTACAAATAGGATTCAACTTATGTTCCCTTATGGACATATATTAACTTTCAGTAGAATAAATTTCTTTCGATTCCTTTTACTCTAAACGAAATGAAAAATTGAAATATTTTACAAAAAAAAAACAACAACAAAAGTGATCCAAATTACATAAATGTTTTGTTAAATCAACGAAAATTATTATTTTAAAGTAAAATAACTAATGTCAATATACTTTAGGAGGATTATAAACTAAAAAGCATGATAAGTTTCTATGATATATTGAACCCAATAGATTTCTGAGGATGATCGATAGATTCAATGAAGTGTTATAAATCATGAAATTAGATTAAATCGCAAATTGATTTGTTTAGCTTTGTGATGAATATGTAAAAAATTAATTCGAACGATATAACGATCAGTCGTTGATGATATTTCTCAACGAAAAGTCAACTTGAAATCATTTATAAAATCATTATTTTTTGAATAAATCGAACAACGATTTAATCATTAGTTAATTTCTACAATACTTAATTACACTATTATTCATAATGCAAGTATCTATGAATGTGGGATCATTAAAAAAAGATTGTTAATGAGAAGAAAAGATGAATAAATGATATGCATATATAAGTATAACATTTCCTGATTGTTCGTAAATCATATTCTGAATTAAATTTTGAAAAATACACAAAGAACACGACTAACTCTAAGAACATTTAAAATATATAGATATTTATTTGTTCCACTTTAAAACTCCACAGTACTTATTGAAGTTTCGACCGCTCAGTTTAATTTGGATGACGTAGAGCTTCATAAAAAAATAGTTCTGAAATGTCTTTTTTATTCAACGATCTTAGCAGAATTATCTGTTTTGGATATAGATTTCCCATTCATTTCATAATGTTCTAGCAATATTTAATATCAATTGATGAAAAATAGAACGAGATTCGTCCGTTTTCTAACTGAATATATAGTTATTAGAGAATTGTTGTGTATTGCACCTTTGAAAAATTTCTAAATTTTCGTTTTATACATAATCACACAAATCAGTTACTTATCATATAAGTTGAAAGTGTGGATGTGGGATTGCATGTGACCGAAGAGAAGTTCAACACATGCATCCACACTCTACATCCACTCACCCACATACTCCAAACAAATTTCCAGAGTACGAAATTTGTCGGTTCATCATTGAAAAAACGTAATTTCCTCACGTTCGGCAAGATCGATCACATGTAACACTGATATGTAAACCTGTTCATAGGGGTGCAACAAATCTTGAATAGATTTGGGATTTGGCACCAAATCTTTGAGATTTGGACTTGAATTTGGATTTGGTTTCTGGATTTGGGTATGGTTCGGATTTAGTTCCTAGATGTGGATTTAATCTAGATTTGAATCTCAGGATTGCTGCTATCGCTTTGCTTGGCTTAGATTTCGGATTCGGAATTGGTGATATGCTTGAAATTTGGGATTTTGATTTTGAGTTGGAG